GAAATGACAGGACCCGTGTATTTAAAGTAACCTTAAAATGATGCATGAAGCAGTAATCCTTCCTAGGAATTAGGTTATTGTAATTTTATCATGAGAGGGACACACAGGAAAGACATTTCTATTCATTTGAGTTGGAAACATGAAAGGTGAACAAGCTTTCACCAGCTGGAGAGGGTTTGCTCTGTATCAACAGTTGTTTGGTGGGGAACAGTAATCTGAAAAGATGGAACAGCTTTGTATACCTGTAACCTATCACAACAAGTAATGCAACAGCAGTTGCAGGAGCTGGGTGTCTGCAGGTGAGAGAGGCCTAGGATAATACTCTTTTGGAGGGTTTGAAATGTTCCTGGTTCCTTGTCCCATTAATAGCTATCTTTGGGAGAGCTACAACATCCAGTTTCATTTAAGAGTTGTTACCTGTGCATCCATAAAGAAGGAATGGGAAAAACTATCTAGAATTTGGGACCAGACTGGATAATAACAAAACTATCTGACGGGGTGTGTGAACGTGTAGCAAAGATGATGTAAGTATTTTGTAATTGGAATTCATATCTCTTGGTAATAGGTAACTTCTCAGTGGAAAACCAGACTATGAATGTGTAGAAGTTGACTGTGTGTGGTAGTTTCTGACAAAGATAGCTGAGATAACGAAACAAATCTGAGTCTGTATCTAATGAGGATGCTTTTGTGTTAGACTATCATTTTACCTATACTTACCTAAGAGGCAATTATGGGAAGTGGATGTCTGAAGTATGCAGGAATAGTTCTGTAAATACATTTAAATGAACTGTAAAGATATTTAATAAATATAGTATTTATACTAACATGGTTTTAAAGTAACTGACTTCAAACTTATTTTCCATTTATGCAATAAGAGCCCTATTGTGTGTTGCAGAGGAGCCCAGCCACTGAGTCTCAGCTTTGGAGTGTGTGTCTATAAAATGTTTTATTTTTCACATGTTCCATTGTTCTAGACTTCATTTTCACTTATTAAATCCTCTTCAATAGTGAGTCACCTATACAAGCAATAGCAATCCTATAATCAAGAGATGTAACATCCTTCTGAAGATAATGCTGGTTTGCATTACATGCTGATAGGCAAGTTCAAAGAACGCGTTTCTTACATTGCTGAAAGCCTAACCTTTGCGATATCTGCACCTTAAAGAACCACCACTTAATAATCTTTCCAACATAGTTGTGAACAGCCCTCTACCAAGTCATTTGGCTTACCTAAAAGCCAACTTTTTAAAACTGTGTTCCATATGTGCATGAAAGAGCTGTTTGTTCTGAAATCTCCTGAGTCCTATATTACAACATAAACTACAATGCTCTGTTCTCTCTCACTCAAATGAATGGCACCAGACATTTCTCTTAGAGTGACTAAATTAACCATATTTATGGTAATACAGAAGAGGTCCACTCAGCTTTGCCAAACAGTCCCAGAGAACCAATTGTATTCCAAAACGTGTACATAAGGACTGTATACTGGCAAATGTTCATTACTTTTGGCATTTGGTAAAGATGCATTCTAAGAAACTACACAAACCCCCACCCTCAATCAAAGTACAAGTCAAATGGAGTTATTCTTTTGATGTATTGAAAAGGCAGTCCTATGTCCTTTCTCATTCAGTGAAGCAATCTTGAGCAAAGAATGACAATGGCGAAGTCTGACTACTGTTTAATAGGTTGCTGTGGGTAACAGACAGTTACCAGGATCAAACAACCAAACTCGTTCTGATTTCTTTGGTTTTTTGGCGGGTGAAGAATTACTAAGTTCTAAAATGAAACTTTTTTAATTCACTGCATCTTGTTCCATACTGCACAAAATGTCCTACAATATACAAGTCAAGTAGATTAAAATACTTCTAATTTTAAAAAGATCTATTGCAAGGTGCTGTGGAAATGCAGATTGCAACCAGTTTTACACCTAAAAGCTAGTCTTGCAAAAGTTACTGGCCATTTATTATAGCAATAAATGTGTCTGGCTGTGCTAGAATTAGGGCTGTCAAGCGATTAAAAAAAATAATCACAATCGCACTGTTAATAATAGAAAACCATTTATTTAAATAGTTTTGGATGTTTTCTACATTTTCAAATATATTGATTTCAATTACAACACAGAATACAAAGTGTACAGTGCTCACTTTATTTTTTATTACAAATATTTGTGCTATAAAAGCCAAAAGAAATAGTACACCTCTACCTCGATATAACGCTGTCCTCGGGAGCCAAAAAATCTTACCGCGTTATAGGTGAAACCGCGTTATATTGAACTTGCTTTGATCTGCCGGAGTGCGCAACCCCGCCCTCCCCCGAGCACTGCTTTACCGCATTATATCCGAATTCGTGTTATATTGGGTAGCGTTATATCGGGGTAGAGGTGTATTTTTCAATTCACCTAATAAGAGTACCGTAGTGCAATTTCACAAAAATTGAACTTACAAATCTAGAATAATGTACAAAAAAACTACATTCAAAAATAAAACCATGTACAACTTTAGAACCTACTAGTCCACTCAGTCCTACTTCTTATTCAACCAATCGCTCAAACAAGTTTGTTTACATTTACAAGAGATAATGCTGCTCACTTCTTATTTACAATGTCACCTGAAAGGTGAGAACAGGCGTTCGCAAAGCACTGTTGTAGCTGGCATCGCAAGATATTTATGTACCAGATGCACGTAGATTCGTACAGGAGATAATGCTGCCCGCTTCTTATTTACAGTGTCACCTGTAGGAATGTGTTGTTCCCGAATCGTACGCCCCCGAGAACGGCAAACTGTTCCCTTGGTAACGAGGCAGGAGTGACCTTGTTCTAGCGCCTATGTTTGGAAAACTTATTGGCAACCTGACATCTTTGCAGCTGGTGTTCACGTGCACAAGAGATGGGTTTGCTATCTTATGTAATTGACTACTGCATGTCTTTTTCATGCGCGAGATTTGTACCAATGAGAAGTGTTGTAAACAAAGCAAGTAATATAATAAAAGGCCCAGGAAAAGTTTTCCTGGGAGGCTTTTTGCAGGAGGCTTGTAAAGCTCTCTGGCTACCAACAAACCTGGTGTTCTGTTTCCTGCGTCGTCACCACAGTCACCTGAAAGTGAGAACAGGCGTTCACATGGCACTTAGATACCTTGCAACGCCGGCAACATAAGTGCCAGTTATGCAGTTAAACATTCATATGCCCCTTCATGCTTCAACCACCATTCCACAGAACATGCGTCCATACTGATAATGGGTTCTGCCTGATAACCATCCAAAGCAGTGCAGACCGACACATGTTCATTTTCATCATTAGAGTCAGATGCCACCAGCAGAAGGTTGATTTTTTTTTTTTGGGTGGTTCGTGTTCTGTAGTTTCTGCGTTGGAGTATTGCTCTTTTAAGACTTCTGAAAGCATGCTCCACACCTCGTCCCTCTCAGATTTTGGAAAACACTTCAGATTCTTAAACCTTGGGTCAAGTGATGAAACTATCTGTAGAAATCTCACATTGGTATCTTCTGTGTTTTGTCAACTCTGCAGTGAAAGTGTTCTTAAAATGAACAACGTGCTGGGTCATCATCCGAGACTACTAGAACATGAAATATATGGCAAAATGTGGGTAAAAGAGTAGGAAACATACAATTCTCCCCCAAGGAGTTCAGTCACAATTTTAATTAATGCATTATTTTTTTAATGAGCATCATCAGCATGGAAGCATGTCCTCTGGAATGGTGGCGGAAGCATGAAGGGGCATATGAATGTTTAACTGCATAACTGGCACTTATGTTGCCGGCGTTGCAAGGTATCTAAGTGCCATGTGAACGCCTGTTCTCACTTTCAGGTGACACTGTAAATAAGAAGCGGGCAGCATTATCTCCTGTAAATGTAACCAAACTTATTTGTCTGAGCGATTGGACTGAGTGGACTAGTAGGCTCTAAAGTTTTACATTGTTTTGTTTTTGAATGCAGTTATGTAATAAAAAAATCTACATTTGTGAGTTGAACTTACACGATAAAAAGATTGCACTACAGTACCTGTATGAGGTGAATTGAAAAATACTATCTTGTTTGCCATTTTTACAGTGTAAATATTTATAATAAAAAAGTGAGCACTATCAACTTTGTGTACTATGTAATTTAAATCAATATATTTGAAAATGTAGAAAAACATCCAAACATATTTAATAAAATTCAATTGGTATTCTATTGTTTAACTGTATGATTAAAACTGCGATTAATTGCGATTAATTTTTGAGTTAATGGCCTGAGTTAACTGTGATTAATCGACAACCGTAGCTAGAATGCATGGATTTGCTACCCCAGTACTTTGAATGTCACATGTATAGCCTTAATTCTCCTGAAGCAGTGTAGTCAGTAGTTCAGGTGCCTATAACAACTATGGAGCCTCTAGAACAGCAATTCTCAAACTGGATTGAGACCCCAAAGTAGGTCGTAACTGTTTTAATGGGGTTGCCAGGGCTGGTTTAGACTTGCTGGGGCTTGGGGCCAAAGCCCGAGGGCTTCCACCCTAGGTGGTGGAGCTCAGGTAACAGGCCCCCTACCTGGGGCTGAAGCCCTTGGGGGTTTGGCTTTGCCCCTCCCACCCCTGGGGTGGTAGGGCTCTGGCTTTAGGCCCCTGCCAATTGGGGCAATGGGGCTCAGGCAGGCTCAACTTCAGTCCCCCCCTTTGCGGGTTGTGTAGTATTTTTTGTTGTCAGAAGGGGGTTGCGGTGCAATGAAGTTTGAGAACCCCTGCTCTAAAACACCACCCCTAACCCATTTTAGGGCTATCGTGTACTTGACAATCTAAAATTCTTAATCCAGCACTACACCAGTACTGAGTTATGAAAATGAAAATTTCAACTACAGTTTCAAGATGACATATCCATACAACTGGCTGACATAGAATGGTAATGACAGAGGGTAAAACACTCGTGCTTAAAGCTTTATGGATGCATATTACATATTTGTTAAACTTCCACATAAGTTGGAATATAAAATATTTACAAGTTTTAACCTGTGATTATAACAGGAAATGATAAAACACTGAATCATTGAAGAGTCTTAACCAGTCCCTTTTATGTATTTTTATTGCAGAAGAGGGAACTTGCACAATCAAACAAGCTCTATTCACTTGAGAGCTTGAAACTCTAGCCTTCTTAGGTGTTAAACTCAAAATCACTAACACTAGTAATAGGCTAGAATATAAAATACAAATATCAACAGCAGTTTCTATTTACTGTTCTAATTTCTATGTAATCTAAAAATAGAAAACTCTAGGAAACTTCCATAATGGAAGTGTTGCAACAAGTTTATAAAATAGACTGTAGCTATTCATTATGTATGTAAAATACACTTTAATACCTAAAGAGAATGTAAACATCTGTGCAAAGTTTGTACAGGCACTACATATCCCTAGACAACGTGGGAGAGCTGCTCATTGTCAAAATCGTCTTCGGCATCACTAGCTGTGGCCAAACTATGAAGTGTGTGGCTGATGACATCTTGCTCCTTAAATGAAACTGCTCCAAAGAAAAGTGAATGAAACTGGAAAATGCAATATTTAATAAAGTGAGTTGTTGTACACACACAATATTCCTGGGATTTTTTTTTACTGCTGATTAAGTCTTTTTGGCAAGCACATTATTTAAAAAAAAAAAAAAATTAGTAACCAATGTAGACTAACAAACACATTTGGCATCTACAAATATTTCCAGCTGTCATTAGAGGTGTACCAGTGTATGGTAATTTGCCAGCTGATTTAATTGCAATCACTGTAATTCAGTATTTAAAGCAAATTTGAAAGTCTAGATATGGGAAAACAGTTGGACCTATACATAAGGCTGCCTCAGAGGTTTGAATTTAACAGGGGAAAGATGTGAATATTTAAATCCTAAATATTTAAAATATTCACACACAAATGAAACAGCAGAGATTATGCTTGTCTGCAGCTATGGTATGCATAGGACACAGTTTTTGAATATACAGCATTCCTATATATACACTTATGTATGGTAGGTGGACATGAAGACGCCATTGCCAGACCTGGTCTTCCCAACCCTCTGGAAACAGGTTGGAAGCAGCTACTGCTAAACCTTTTCAGAAGGGTAGAGAGGAAAGGGTCAGATGGCAGAAGAAATAACTGACAAGCCACTCCTCCTCAACGGGGGTGGGGGGGAGAAGCAGCTGATACTGTAAGCAAGCACATCTGCCATTTTTGTGAAGACATCTGCTGATGCCCTGGATTTTACTCCTGAATCTTCACAGACACTACTTTAACAGGTAGTGATAATCGTGGAGCCTTCCACTGCCTTAAAGTAGACCCTGAAAAGGCTCTGTGGGCAGGTGTTTGCTGGCATGTATGTGTTCCTGTGAGGGTTCTCTGCACCAAAAAAAAAAAAAAGGGGGGGGGGGGGAGAGGGGACAGGGAGTGGGGGGGGGGTAATAGGAAGCATACAGGTGTCCTCTAAGGGGTGGAGGAGGAAGAATTGGGCTCAAATCCTGGTATGAGTAGGAAGGGAGGAAAATAATAAATCCAAGGGGAAACATGGACTTTTAATTTTAAATATTTTCTGATACTTATGTCTCAGAATACATACCTATTCAACTTGATTAAAGAGTCACTCAGAAACAACAGTAAGATTGCTCAAAAACACTGAACTGTGACCATGTTGGGCCATGGAAACCAGCAAGCACCCACATGCACAAATTTACTTAAGTGTGGGGGTTGGAGGAAAACTAAAGAGGGAAGGATTAGGGCTCAGGAGCAAGCATAGAACTGGAAATACTGGTTTCTAGTACCAATTCAACTATAGCAAGGCTCTGGACAAGTCACCTTCCCTCTGCTTCCTCTATCTGTAAAATGGGAACAATATCAGGTGTCGGTGGCTGTTCAGCAATAAGTATTACAAGAGAAAAATTTGATTTGAAAATACTTTGATTTTATGTTTAAGATAATAGAGATAAAGCTAGTTTAAAAATGCAATTGTTAATATTCCTTTACAGATCAAGCTCTTTTTATAACTTGCCCTGATGTGAAATGATTTTTTTTTTTACGGGATTTAGTCTCCAGCCAGTCAGATTTATTTGTGCTGGTTTCCAATGTAGCTTTTACTTTACTGTCACCTTAACTAAAGCATACTCTCAAATCCATAAAGCAATAGGCATCACATAAAGCTCACTACTTCTCAAGATATCTATAGGTCACGCCTGGTGGATGGCATAGGAATTTACCTGTTACAGGAAGAAAAAATTCTAGTCCTTTATGACGGAAGAACCTCAAAAAGTGAATCAAGCATAAACTGAGCCAGTGATATCAGCCGTACTCTATGTAAAACCTGAAATATCCCATTCATCAAAAGCAGGACTCTGTTGAATTCCACAACTTCATAGCTGTGAAATCTACAATTTTTCCATGATGATATGGAGGTCAGTGTTTTGCTGCAAAATTTGACATTTTGCTGAAACCTATAGCCTGTTATCTTCTGTCTTCGTGGTTTACCAGGACTGCCTTAAGCTGCCTCTTGCTCTTTAGCTTTCCTCACAAGAGGAGTTAATTGGTTTATAGTGCTTGCTGTCTGTAGGATTGTATAGGCAGTTGGGGGTGGGGTGGTCATCTAGTAGCCAGAACTGGAGTTCAGTTTGCAACTACGGCATGGGGGCAGCCAGAGAATAGCCCCACTTAGCTGCTTATATCTGGAGAACAGCACAACAGCTAAGGTTTGAGGAATCAGGCAGATACGCCACTGAAACAGTTACAAGCCAACCCACCTCTGCAACTCCCTGGTGCACAATGGACAGGAAAGATGCTGAGATGGACTCCTATACCACATAATGGGAACTTGGGAAGTACAGCATAGCAAAAAATCCTTGTAAAAATAATTCTGTGGTGGATGAACTTTTTCAAATATGAACTATAGGTAGGTGTGAAGGAGAATAAAGGGCATTGTGGGGCAGTAGACTGAAATAACATTGCCACAGAATTTGGGTCTATTGTACTGCAAAGTACATGGGGACCTGTCTATAGGGGAACTGTTTAATTGTAGATTCTACATATATTGAAAATCATACTGTTGCACTGAATTTGACTGAAACAGCAATTTATATAGAACTGAACATTGTGGTGTGATAAATGCGGCTACATTTAGTAACTAAATACTAGTGTAAGTACTAGTTAAAAGTATTATTTTGCTGTCTGGGCAAAACTCATTTTTCTTTAGCTTACAATGTAGATTTGATTTGGAATTCTTCTTACCTTGTACTGATCAGAATATGAGGGTACTACTGCCTCCACAATTTTAATGTCACATGCTGCACTCATGTCCAATACTTCTATGTTCTTCATGTCTTTTTTTGAGATTATGGGAATAATATCTCCTTTTGACAGAGGTTTCCTACACTCTACAGGTGACTCCGTGTTGCTATGTGCTCTTTCAGTCCAACAAGGCTTTTTTGAAGCTATTGTTTCTGTATTACTATCATTATCTGCAGAGTTGTTTGAGGCATTTTCAACATTATCTGCATAGGCCTTCATCAAGGTAGGTCTGAGGGATTAACAGACACGTTAGTAACCTGACTTTGGAAGTCTTACTAGATAAATAATAAAACCATATAAATAAATAGATATTACAAATGACTAATGAAAAGCATGATGACTCTAGAACTAGGCTTTCATCTAGTGTGACCCTTCCCCCCAAGCTAAGCTTCATGGATCCCAGGCAAAACTGACAATAGTAAGAGTGCTGCTGTTTGTTCTGCTGAAAATCCCTGATGCTGGCTCCTCTTGTACTCCTAAGGAGAGGGTATTGCACCAGTCTATTTCATGAAACTGAAGCATGTGTTTGAGAAGGTAATGTAAATCTACAGAAAGCCATCCCCACAAACTAGAAATAGGGAGAGATCTGAAAAGGCAATGAGAAAGATGAAACAGGCAACTCAAACAATATTTTAAACACGTACTGGCTGTCAGAAATTATGGTGACAAGTGCCACCATAGTATTGGAAAGATAGATATGTACTCTGGATAGGAGAGGCAGCAAGTCGGAAAGAGTGTCCTCTCCTCATAATTGGTGCTCTGTCTTGGGTCTCAAGTTATCATACCAGCTCTTCATCTTGTGATCAGGCTCCTTAATCTGAACCTGATCGTCCTTTTAATCCAGGGGTTCTCAAACTTTTGTATTGGTGACCCCTTTCACATAGCAAGCCTCTGAGTGTGACCCCCCTTATACATTAAAAACACTTTTTTATATATTTAACATCATTATAAATGCTGGCGGCAAAGTGGGGTTTGGGGTGGAGGCTGACAGCTCGCGACCCCCCATGTAATAACCTCATGACCCCCTGAGGGGTCCCGACCCCCAGTTTGAGAACCCCTGTTTTAATCCAATAAAACATCACTTGTGTGCAAATGCCCTAATATGAGTTATCATAGCAATGAATGCTGTAGAAGAACCAGTACATCTTTTCCCTCCCACCTCAAATGTAACATAATTGGAAATTGCAAAAAAGGACAATGGATGTTCAACCTTTAGGAGCAGAATGCCAAAACAATCCTAAATCCTGCATTACCTTTTCTGTCTTTGTGAAAGGCATAGAGATTGCTGAGAGGATTCCCTATTTTCAATGTCAGCTAATGTAGCCAAAACAAAGCTGGCTTCTACCATCATGTCCTCAATACTGAAAGCAATTGGTCTAAAAATATAAAATCAGAGACTGAATTGTATGTGTAAACATATATATGTGGGGTTTATTTTTTGGGGGGGAGGAAGGAGGCTAGTTCATATACCTCTCTCTCTTTCTCTAGAGAGAGAGAGAGAGAGAGAGAGAGACACACACACACACACACACAAAGATGCTTGGTATAGAGACTATTTCTATTCACTACTTATTTAAGAAACATGAGAAACTTTTGTTTCCCATTACAGCTTTATATACTGCAGAGAGTAAATACTATGGAATTTTGCGCTTAAAATAATTTAGTACCAAAGGTGCTTCCACACTTGTGGACAAATGCTCAAAGTTCAGATTTAAATAAAAAATTGTTTCCTTAACTGTTCCCAGAAAAGGAAACTGATGGCCTGATATTCAGAGGTATACTAAGCACCTGAAGTTTCCCTTGAGTTCAGTGGGATGTGGGGTGCTCAGCAATCCAGAAAAATCAGACAAATTATGTTTTGCATAAGGTCTATCATATAAAAGTAAGCTCCTTAAATCTGATAAACTATTCAACTTTTGTATTAATGTGGTTAATTACAAACACAGCTCTTAATAAGTGAATGATATTGGTTATTTTAAAGGGGAACCACTTTACTGATATACAGTAGAACACCAGAGTTACGAATTGACTGGTCAACTACACACTTTGTTTGGAACCGGAAGTACGCAAACAGGTAGCAGCAGATACAAAAAAAAGCAAATACAGTACAGTATTGTGATAAGCATAAACTACTAAATAAATAAAGGGAAAGTTTAAAATAAAGATTTGACAAGGTAAGGAAACTGTTTTTGGTGCTTGTTTCACTTAAATTAAGATGGTTAAAAGCAGCATTTTTCTTCTGCATAGTAAAGTTTCAAAGCTGTATTAAGTCAATGTTCAGTTGTAAACTTTTAAAAGGACAACATTTTGTTTAGAGTTATGAACATTTCAGAGTTACGAACAACCTCCATTCCCGAGGTGTTCATAAATCTGAGGTTCTACTGTAATAGCTAAATATTACTCATAAACCAGACTGCAGATGAAAATCGAATGCAGAGCTGTTACTAAAATACTACTATACAGTTAGGTTCCCAAAAACTTACTTTCCAGACACATCAAAATGAACTGAGACAGTAGCGCTAGTAGCCTCTGCAAATGCTAGTAGACCCTACAAATGGAAAAGAAAGGATTATTAAAGTATCTTAAAACACAAATATTAAACGCTACATTTTCCTTTACATTATTCCCATGGATTAATCTTCATGGATTAGGGATACCAATCTACTGTTACATGTATACATTCTTGCCTTCTATGCACTGAGATTTTCCCAGAGAAATATTTTCCACATCTAGTATGAGATGCATTATTATAGCTATATATTATAAAATCTTCAATACATGTCTAATAAATTAATTTTTCTCAAACCTCAAGCTTTTACCAAAAAATTATCCTCACTTCCCTGTTCCCCACCATACCCTCTGAAGGTAAACCTCCAGTGCTAAAAGGAAGCCTGCTTTTATGGCTACCCCTCATCCAGGTAGTAAATACTACTGTGCACGTGAGGCACTGTAAAACAGCTGCCTCAGTGAGAGTCCTGCAGCGCCATAGTTAAACATTATATATACTACACAAATATCCTACTATCAAGAACATTTTATTCGTATTTTTACCCTCAGTTCTTTAAGGCAAAACGTTACTTCAGAGTCTACTCCAATTTGAAAGTAGTCAAATTCATCTGGATTAAGATGTATTTTAGTGTGCATTGCCTTTGAAAAATCTGTTCAAAAATTACAAGAAAGGCAAGGATTAAAAACAGAGTGTGAAATTCTAGCCCTAGTAAGTCAGTGGGGGCCATGATTGCATTCACAGGCCCTGAAACTAGATGTCTTTTGGACCACCAATTGTAAAAGTCTAACAAATAACTTACAAACATGTATACGAGTATTTATTGTAAATATACAGTATACTGACTCTGATATTGATAATTATGAAATAATATCAGTCACAATATTTACACCTGTTATCTTCCAAGAGTAACCTTACCAGCACAATTACAGTGGAAAACAGTGTATTAGAAAAAAGATTAAAATAATTCCATCTAATCACAAAGAAGAGTAAATCACTTTTTAAACTAATTTTAAGCTTATCAAACAACTAAAAAGAATTAACAATCAAACTGGAAGTTACTGTCTTGACAATGTCACGAGGAAGACTGGAATTCAGAAAATTAAGTTCCATTTAAGAGAGCTGTAAATCAGATGTCAAAGTTGTTTTAGGTAAAATACTCTTGAAATGCTTTGGTTAATGTAATGGTTTGTCTAACCATTTTTTAAAACTATTTAAATTCTAGAATTTACCCTGTGACCTAGAAGTTAAAGACAAATATTTTTGATTATTTAAGTTAGCCTAAGATGACTATTAAATTAAATAAAGCATTCAAAAATATTGCTTAAAACAACTTCTAATGCTGATTTCCAATTATTTTTAATGGACTCTACATTTTTTTCATCCTATGGTTTGACCCTGAAGTCCCTTGTGCAAAGTCCCACTAACTTTAGTGTTGATAAGGTGTTCAATATAAACCCTGTATTCAGCAGCTTTTATTTAAGAGTTTATTTTAAAATGTAAACATTCATTGAAGGCAATTGCTGCGGTGTGTTTTTTTTTTTAAATAGCTGTCAACTATGATTAAGTCTATCTGAAGTATAAAAGAAGGCAAAAAAGTTAGATTTTTTTTTTTAGATTCTGTTTCCTGATTTTTTAACAAAATAGTCTTTCACTGACATTGTACAATTGATATAAACAAGGGAAAATATTATGCAGTTCATTTTTAAGTATTAAATTATATCACTTATAATGAACATTGCAATTCTCTTAGTTACTGTAAGACGAATGAAAGATGTTCTTCACTCATGGGTGCTCATCTTTGAAGGGGTGCAGAGAGAAAATATAAAGACATTTTTATTATGTGTGTGTGAGTCTCAGAGAGGTGCAGAAAATATTAAAGCAGTATGAATAGTGAACTCCTGTGGAAACCAAACTCTTTCAAAGTTAACTGGCTAACAGAACAGTACTATAAATTACTCCCAGTCTCAAGTCTTTTACTCTTCCTGTTGGAATTTTCTTCTCTTAACCTCCATCCATGCACAGTTGAACATGAAACAATAACCCTGTAGTGTTCTATAAGGTAGAAGAACCACAATTTTGTAATGTAATTGCCAACTCACAAAATGTAGGACCTATAATAAGCAAATGAAGGCAGGTCTAGGGAGGAGGTGTCATCCCTTCCCTCTCCATCTCCAACACCAGGCCATTTTTCAGGGTTTATTTTTTCTATAGACATCCAAACCACCACTAAATCATATATTCAAAAGTATAAATATTGCTTTCGTTGCACAAGTTTATTTATAGAATGTGGCTTAATATGTTCTATTAAGCAAATGTTTTATAATACCAAAAAAAAAAAGTACTACATCTCCTTTGTCCCTCCCTTCTTTCTCTTCCTACTCTGCTCTTTTAGTTCTGTTTCTTGATTAATCTTTATGCAGTTTCTTTTCTCAAATTATTCATCCTCTTTAAATGTATGCTTGTTTCTAATAACGTCTCCTTCTTGAAGATGCAATCTATTTTCTCTTCTGTTTCACACTCTGCTCCATTTCTACTACTTGAGCCTCTCTGCCCTCCCTTTCTATAGCCTTCCCTCACACCAATCCATACACCCCCCCACTGCTTGCAAAAGCATCTTTTTCCTTAACTGCGCCACCATCAAACTGGATCATTTCAGGAAGGATGCAAAAGCGTGGGGTCTTACCCTCCAAATGCAGTGGCAAGTATTTCACACGAGGCACGGGTGACAAAGTACATTTATAGGTGTCTCCCTCAAAACGTGTATGAATTGATTACACCATTGTAAAACTGTATTATAGCATCACTTTCTAGTGCCGTGCATGAGAACACTATGCTTTAGAAACAGAGTTATATCTTCAAAATACTTCCAAATCAGATGTCAGGAAAACACTCTCTCCATCTTATATTCTCACACATTAGTGCACAACATAACACTTCTAGACCAGCTAAAATGTAATATTGCTGTCATACATTCACTTTTAGAAATATGCTCACTGCTGATGATGGCCATTACAATGATGTTATTTATGTTTAAATATTTATCTCCTTTTTAAATACAAAATTCTCCTCCTCTCCCAGTTTGTTGCTGTTTCTTTACAGCTATTGTAGAATAATGATCTCAGTTCAAGCGTGCAGCAAATTGCGTAATTTTAGCTCGATGTACTGCTCTGGGTGGCATCTACTATTGATACCAAAAAAAGTCTAACTGATGCACCAGTACAGGTTTCCTCAAAAACTTCTAAGGATTACAGTCCTATTTTTAATCTTCTATTCTGGCATGTTCTCTGACCTGAAACCCTCTGCACACCTTTAGCTTCATTTAAGATATCTAAATAATCAGTTTAACTTTCAGCCATGTGATACCTTTTCCCACCATGATGCAAAGTTATTATTTTTTTCAATTGTTTTAAAGCACTCTTATCCTTCAAAAATATTGTGAATTAATTCTTACCGATTTCTTCCTCAGTATAACTCTTGAAACAAACTTTCATTGGTGTAACAGCTACAGTTACTTCCTCTTGACAGGTTGGAAAATGAATCATTACATCAGTCAGCAGCCTAAGATGTTTTGTATAGCATGTTAAGATTAATTTAGACAACAAATTACTATCTATTCACATTAGTAACAAAAATTAGTGTCACTTTGCCATAAGAGTTGAAAACGTTTCAAGAGAAAATATAGGTTGTTGTGTATTATCCCCACTTTTAAATGTGATTTAATTGTATTTTCTTTTCTTTTAGTATATGATTATGATTTTATATATTATGCTTCAATAATGTATAATAATTATATTTTAATCTAACCAGTACTGTTAAACAGTTAATATCCAGTTATCATGATAATTATGATAATCTTAATGTGATTTTGTCTTCCTTTTAGTATTAATATATCAAGAGCCAAATAAACATTTTAGATATATTTTTATTATTTTTACTTTGTTCATAAATTTGCAGGTGATGGAAAAGCAAAATGCTTGCATTAAATTTTGTTTACTACAGACGAACAGGTTCAATTGATGGCTGTCTCTCCATATACTGATTGCAAAAAGAAATACACTGATCATTCTTTTCCCAAGAAATCCTGACATATCTCATCCAATCCCCAAAGGCTTTGTGCTGTAGTTGTGGCAACTCTCTCTCCAGAAGAGGAAGGCTGGGACACAGCTCTCTCTCTCCAAAACCCCTCAACACTGCTTCCTGAGTTGATGCGTTGTGAGTAATCTCATTAAGTTGAACAATAGAATGTAAGTACTTCGAGGCAATGACCCTCTTTTTACTGAATATCTGTACAGTCTATATAACAATGGAGCACGGAGCCTTAACTGGTGTCCCTAGGTCAGACCTACTGCAATATAAAAACTAAGTGGGCAAAAATCCAAGACCACTCCCCTTTCCCCTTTTTTTACATTGAGAATGATTCCTCCCAAATCATAATTTAAAAAAAAAAATGACCCATGATAGAAGATATTTTATGCAAGGCAGAGAATTATTAAGACCCTTAAAAATATTCCTTATTGTGTAGCCTATCATGACAGTATCAACTTCATGATATTTTAAAAAAAGATGACCTCTTACTTTACATCCTTTTTACTGTTCTTTTTTTAAAAAAAGTCAAGTGTGACAGTTTTTCCAGCTTGGCAAAAACATATCCATTTTACATCATGAACTGCTTCAATTTTTAAAAATAGGTTAATGAAAAATTTAATGGATGTTTACCAATTTGTCAACTCTATTGAATTAATGTTTAATTTTTAAAAAAATCTACTCTGCACATACTGGTGTGCAGAGTCATGCTATAGGTAACATAAATATTTATAAACATTTGGCCTTCACATGATGTGTACCCAGTCACTTCCTACTGTGAGCTTTACACCAAGTCTTTAAAAACACTTATTTCAATTATACAAACAATATCATGTAAAGTATGTTTTGTGGTTTTATAGACTTCTGTTTCTATAGAACAATGAACAATGAAACTGAGATAGGGAAAATAGGGAATGTAGACACATTATCTATTAAAATTAATGGAAGATATGGACCTAAATCCCCTAGACTGTTTTTGAAATGCTATTAACTTAAATATTTAAAAATACTGGAAGAACTGTAGCTGTTTATGTCAAGCATTCAAAATGGTAGTGATGTGCTTTTATCACAAATGATATTAAGGAGGATCTTCCAACCTGCCTATGCAGCTGTTGTCTTGTTACCAAATTAAATGATGATAATAATATCTTGTTTTCCTACAGCATTTTCAATATGAAGATCTGAAAGCTCTTTACAAATAGTAATTAATTAATACTTTTAAGAATGCTGTGTGTTGGGTAAATATTATTAGCCCCATTTTACAGATGAGGAAACTGAGGAACAAAGAGATACAGGATCCTATTCAGTGCACACTGCAGTCAGTGGAAAGACTCTCATTGACTTTGATGGATATGGGATCAAGACAGAGCTTGCTACAAAACTCAGTTTGTCTATCTTCAAGTCCTGTATTTAAACACACTAAGCAGCAGCTAATGCATTCCAGAACGTCACTGGCATGATCTCTGAAAAACAGCAAGTTTGTCAATATATGACCAATTGAGATATAACTTTGTCAGGCTAATATTCTTTTGTATAAAACTTTTAAAACCTATATACACTTTTAATGGCTACAGGAACAGACTGCTCTTGTTCACTGTTCTAGAATTTGCTTTTCAGAAGACTAGCTAAAATCTTTCTCTATATGTTTAGTTGGCATGGCACGTTTAAGAACTGTACTTGTAGCACCCTTACAATGCTTGTTCCAAACTTCACTGTCCCATTGGTAAAAATATTTAGCTTTTTTCTACTTATGCTAATATGATCATTGGATTTTTTTTCTGACTTGTGCTAAAACCAACTATACACAAAAAACCAATGGACAATTAAAAACCTTTCTATCTTCATACCACAACAAAGGCCTAATTCAAAGCTCAGTGAAGTCAATGAAAGGACTTCTATTGACTTCAGGGCACTTTGGATCATGCTCTAAGTCTTTGAGGTATCTTCTCAAGACATATTCTCCCTGACTGCAACTCTCGGTTCTGACCAAGTCACTGGTATATCTTCTGTGTATCTTAGCTCCCTTTTGTACACTAGAAAATATGTCTGCCTGATGTACAAATTTGTATTGGACAAAGACTATTAGATATTAAATAATCCTTTAATTATAGCATTTGCACCTGCAGCAACTGACCTGTTGTTGCTGACCTCAGTTTGAAAACTGTATCTTTTGTGAATTAACAATGAGACTGCTGAAAGCAGGGAGCACTTAAAAAAGAAATCCTAAAAAGAGAGCAACGTTTCAGCGAACAGTGTAGAAAGGTTTGGCGTATATATGTTTGTGATACTACTGTTGTTTTTACTGAATGTCCAAATACTTCCTAACTAATGATGACTTCTCCCAAAAGCAATATTTAACCAAAAGATTTCAAACTTCAAAAGAGTGACTTTTTAAAAAACCTACAGATAAGATTTCTTTACTTCGAAGAATTGACTGAGATAAGTAAGACTGCACGTCAAAATCCCTGGTATTTTCAAGTGCATAGTATAATTACTTCTGTGCAGTAACCAATGTACATTATAGTATGCAGTGTTATTACCTCAACCACCTTGTCCCTCTAATGGCTATTATAGAAAGGTTGATATTTCAT